AAAAGATTCTGAGATCTCAGCGAGGCCCAGGAGACTGATAACAGCTCTCAGATTGTGGGAACATGAGAAGCTCGATACTCGGGGACTGGTGGACAGCCGAGACCCGCCCACCACCCCACCCCTGCGCCAGGCAGTGCAGAGCCTCGCAGTCTGGGAGAGGCGGTCAACAATGCAGAAGACAGCAGGCGAGGCGGCCTATTTCCAGAAGGGCAGTGTGTTCTGGTTCATGGTCATCACCCTCTCCATGGGATACTACACGGTAACTGCAGGAGGCCAACGGTCTGGGACCAGGCGGGGGAATGTTCGCTCTCGACCTGCCCTGGGCAGCGGGGAGCAGCAGCGAGCAGCAGCGCAGGCGCAATCCCCGCTTTGCGCAGGGGACTGGGGAGAGCACTGGCCGAGGAGCTGGGGACACGCATGCGCACTGGGCAGCGGAGGAAACTCCAGGGTGCAGGCACCCAGAAAAACCGGCTAGCCGGGCTTTCCCTGAATGGGAGGGAAACAGCACCTCACCCGACTATTTGGTGTCTATTTGGTTTCAAGATGGTAGTGCAGAAGTCCAAGGCTGGCAGGGCTGCTGAGGCCTATTTCCGCACGGCCAGACCCGTGCCCTTGCTGCTCACGGCTTTGGGGCTGGGATACTTCACGGTAAGGCGTGGGGTTGAGGGCGACCCTGTTTGGGCCCGCGGGGACCTCGACACCCTCAGCCACTGCGGAGGGGTCTGCGCATGTGTCTGCGGTGGTTGCCTAGGTACCGGCTTTCGCGGAAGTTGGGTGGGCGGGGAGCTGATGCCTGGGGCTTGCAGACCGTCAACCCTTGTGCATCTGATTGGTGAGTCTGGAGTCGGTGGTCTTGTAGGGAATTGCACTGCTAATCCCAACACCCTAGCTCTCACTCTAGTGGCTGGTACCCACTCGCAGTTCCGTGAGGGGAAATGAGCAGTCTCCTCCTGTGTGTCCCTGAAACCTCGCGGTGAGTTGATTCCCACTCATGGGACCTGAATTTTAGGTGAATCAAGTATGAGATGAGTTTACGGAGAGAGGAATCCCCTCGGGGCTAGATTGACGTGGGGTCAGGGTAGGGCTTCTGAAAACGATGTGTGAGGCAGACGGGATTGCTGAGAAAACGAAGAAAACTTAAAGGATGAATTTGTCAGAAGGAATAAGCTTATTTATGGCTTTGGTGTGGACACAAGACAGGATGAAGAAAATGTTCTGCCTAGCTAAGAACGTTCACTACCAAAACGAGAAAGATGTCGTTCAAAATAGGTTGAGGGTGAAGTTAACAATTTTGAAGAAAAACAAATCTCTTTAAGGTATTACCCGGGAGATCGTAAAGATCTTTGGGATTTGTTTGTTAGGCCACACTGTGCTGTCTGTTGGTGACAGATCGCACCACCTCTGCCCTGATTTCCTATATATAAAATGGAAATATGGAACAGAAAAATTGCAAAGGCTTTTTGTGTTATGATACTGAGTGGCTGGTTAGTTAGAATAAATATGGAATAACGCTTTCGGGCTACCTCGCCCATTCTCATAGTCTGGAAATATGAGGTGATATTTTATGTTTTATTTAAATTCTAGATATGACACAGTGTGGTGATGTAACTATGTTCCTTCGAGTCACCTGTGACTCATAGTGACCCCATGTCCCGAGCCAGTCTCACTGACTCCGAGACACCTATCCCTATTTTCCCAGTTAGTTTGTCAGTCCATCTCATCGGAATCTTCCTCCCCTATTCCGTCCCACCACCTTTCATGGACGAGGTATTACTGCTCCAGAGCAAGATGTGAACAGCACAGTAAATTTTGCAGCAGTTTATCCTTCATTAATCACAGAGAAACCTAAGGTGACAAAAGTTACAACACAAGAAATTCAGGAAAAATTGGTAATATTACAAAACTTTGCATAATTAAGCTGTGGAGCTAGAACAGTTCCTACAAGCTGTCAGAGGCTGTAAGTCGCATGGAAGCTGACTGCCCATCTTTGTCCCAGTGAGCAGTTGGTGGATTTGAATTGCCTGCTTTGGGGTTGGTGGTGCAACTCCTTACCACTAGGCCAATGGAGTTTCCTATTCAATTAAGCTACTAACTCATCACAAAACCTTTGTCAATTATTTTCTGACTTTGCACAGTGCATCGTACCCAGTGTAGGGGCAGAAAAGCTGAAAGGAGAAAAAGCAAAATGTGAAAATCCAAACCTATTGCCAATGACTGCAATCTTTATGGAAAGAGACCACAGAGGGGTTTTCCATGGTGCCCTTTGGTTTCAGCCATCCATCTTTACGTTAGTAGCCAGTCACAAACTGCTTGCACTTGCCGCAACTGTGAAGGAAAAGGATTCTAAATTAAACAGGGGTTTAGGGTTTCAAGCCTAGTTTATACAACAAAAACCTGTCTCAGATACATAAACTCTTTTAATTTGTCAATAACTCTTATTAAATAATGTTACTGATAAAATTGGTCAAAAATAAGAGTCATCCCCTGGACCCTGAATCTAATAATTTGTTTTTTCAGCATAAAAAAAAAAAAACCCAAACACTTTTTTCTGTGTTTAATGTGTCCACTGGGTTTTTCCCCCTCTCTCTCTACCTACCACACTCTGCAAAGTCATGATTTACCCCCACCCCTCCCTCAGCTCCCCTGCCCCATCCCCTTCCTTCTTTGTATATCCATATACATGTCATTGGTTAGCCCGCTGTTTGTACAATAACGATCTTATATAGTATTTGTTCTTATACACCTCAGCTGTTTCACTCAGCATAATGCTCTCTCCCATGTTATATAATATTTTTCAAAATCGTTGCTCTTTTGTGCTGCATAGTACTCTATTAGGTGAATGGACCATCATTAGTAGGGTAGCTTTTTAAAAAAAAAATTATACTAGTTTATTTACAAAGTTCTAATACATTGTTTTTCCCACCCAGATCTTTCCCATTTCCTTCACCACCACCCCTTCCCTCCACCCATCAAATTATGCGACCCAATGATTAGCCCCCCAGTAGAGTAGGTTTTAATAAAAATAAAGTCAGGAGCAGGGTTCTGGATGACTTTGTTTAGGTTTTCTTCAGTCCGCAGTTGTATTTTGTATATCAAAGGTACATGGTCTTAGAGAGTCAGGATTATTTCATATTCTCTCTTAAAAGTAAAAATTTTCCAATCTCTTAAATGACATAAAAGGCACTCTGTGCCTGTGTTTCTCTTTCAGTGGGTTGTCTTCTGGCCTCAGAGTATCCCCTATCAGAGCCTTGGGCCCCTGGGTCCCTTCACTCAGTACCTGGTGGACCACCATCAGACCCTCATGTACAATGGGTAAGGAGATCTGCAGAAATGGGATGTGGCCCTGGCCACTGCAAATGTGTTTGTATAAGACTGAAGCTAATTCCCATCAGGGCACTTTAGAAGCTTTCTGTGTTAGATTTTGTCAGGAAATGATCACCTTATCTAGATTGTTCTTTTTTGTTTGTTTTAGGTATTGGCTTGCATGGCTCATTCATGTGGGAGAATCCTTGTATGCCCTAGTATTGTGCAAGTGAGTGTGATAAATCTTTGCCAATTTCTTCTTGGTGTCTCATATAAGTGGACTTGAGCCAGACTTGAATAACTTACCTACTTATTGATGGAGAAGCCTCTCAGAGTAGAGTCAAATCCCTAGGACTGGCCCAGGGGCAGTGCTCAATGAATATTCAATGAATGAATTCACTTTGCTTGTATTAATAAACTATGTAGTTATTGAATTGATTTTTATTAAACTTTTACTTTTTCTACATAGCCATAGCAAAAACAAAAGCTTAAAATCTATCCTAGTTTAAAACAGAATCACATAAGGGACTTTTTCCAAGTATGCTTTGTCTGCTTTCTGGTCCCAGGTATCTTGCTTTTGTAGGTTAGACTTCAAACATAGGAGTCCAGGTTGTTTGGTTTTTCCAAACTCCACAGATGCTTTTAGGATAAAAAGCAAGTGGAAAACCACTGAACCAGGTATCACTCAGCAGATACCTGTGTAAGTTAATAGAATGTGAAAATTTAAAAAAAAATTCACTATATACTTACATATAGTGTAAAAATAGGGAGTGCTGGTGGCGTAATCCCAAGGGAGATGAGATGGTCTCTCTGGCAGTTCAAATCCACTAGCTACTTTGAGGGACAGAGATGAGCAATCTCCTTCTGTGTATTTTACATACTCAGAAACCAATGGAAGATCAGCTTCGAGGTGGTTCTGACTTGGTAGCAAGGAGAGGAGTATAAAAACAAGAGCTACAGTGACGCCAAATTACCTTTTCTGTCACCTCTGTTGTTGTAGTAATACAAAAAAGTAATATGAAAAGAAAATAAGACACTTTCCCCCCCTAGAATTGTATATTAATAATAGGTGGCCTAGTGAATAGGAAATTGCACTGCCGTGATGCCAACACAAAGGTAAGTGGTTCAAACCTGTCAGCTGCTCCTTGGGAGAACAATGGCACTCTCCTCCTATGCTGTTTACAGCCTCTTAAAACCCACTGTAGGGTCAGCTATGAGTAGGTTACCACTTGATGGTTGTTGTTGTTGTTGTGTACTGTAGAGTCAGAATCAACCCATAGCTGATCCTCCGGTAGATTTTCAGAGGCAGGCAATCGCTCGGGAGGATCTTTCTCCCACAGAGCAGCCAGTGGCCTTGAACTGCATGCCTTCAGGATAGCAGCACAGCTTCTTGCCATTAGGCCACCAGAGCTCCCTGACTTAATGGTAGTGAGTTGATTTGATTAATAATAAGGAACCGAGGTGTTATTCCATCTTGTTGGTGGTCTTCCTATCTCTTTCTACACCTTTCTTTTTTTCCTGGCTTAATGTCTTCTCCGAGGACTGGCCCCTCCTGACAACATGCCCTAAGTATGTAAGACAGAGTGTCGGCCTCTTTGCCTGAGGAGAAGCCTGGTTGTACTGACAGCTTGGCCCTGGGTCCTTTGTGTGCTTTGTGCCCTGTCTTGGTTGTCTTTCTCTAGAGAGGCTTTGGTAGCTATTTGGGAAACTTCATGAGGGTTTTCCCTTCTACAGGGGCCTCACTGGTTCTTTTAGACTCTGCACTGACCTGTCATTTTAGAATTCCACTTTCAGGACTATCTTTCTCTTGAGGAGAACTGTTGTTGTTGTTGTTATGTGCCGTTGAGTCATTTGCGACTCATAGCAACCCTATGTACAACAGCCCTAAACCCTGCTCTATCCTGGGCCAATCACACTACCTCTGATACACCCATCCTGATTACTCCAGTCACTGAATCAATCCATCTTACAGAGGGCCTTTCCCTCCAGCACCGTCCCTCCACCCTCCCAAGCATGATGTCCCTCTCCAAGGACCTATCTCTCCTTGCAACATGCCCAGAGTATGTCAGACAAAGCCCCAGAATCCTTGCCTCCAAGGAGTTGCTTGGTTTAATCCTCTCCAGGACGAATCTGTTTGTTTTCTTGGCAGTCCATGGTACATTCAGTACTCTTCTTCAGTACCACAGCTCAAAGGCATCAGTTCTTCTTCTGCCCTCCCTAGTCATTGTCCAACTCTCCGATGCATAACAAGTGATTGCAAAGACCATGGCCTGTATCAGGTGCACC